GTGTGTGTGTGTGTGTGTGTGTGTGTGTGTGTGTGTGTGTGTGAGACTGAGGGAGGGCCATGTGCAGCAATTCAAAAGTTTTTTTCCTCTAAGAGCTGCAGCCTTGACTGGCAGCCCGAGGTCACTTCAGCCGACCAAGATTGTATTCCTCACTCTGCATACGGCTGTGTTCACTTCAAAATCAATACCACCAGCAAGCGCAATGACGACATGGTCATCAAATTGTTCAGAAAGCGAACAAAAACCCACCAGAGAATGAACGTTGCTCTGTATTTCATGCTCCCCCATCAACTTTAGAAACGGCTCAAATCTAAAGCCAAACTTGAACCTCCCTCCGGCCCAACACCGACCCCGGGGAGGCAGAGGTGATGCTGACCATGTGTCCCTCTACTAACCATCTCAATGATGGACCCAGCGCCTGAGTAAAACTGACATCCTCTCCCGCGTGTGCCCCTAAACTCCTTTAACCCTTTCCTAAACTCTCGTGCTGGCCCCCTGTTGTGCGTGCTCATTGGCTGACCGCCTTCAGGCGTCCCCTTTTTCCATGGCCCCATTGTCTGGCCACCCCATAAGCAGCTTTGTTTCTGCATGTGCAGCTGGGATAGCCCGCTCAGCCATTAGCCACAACACGCTAAAGGGAGTGCGGGATAATATAATTACAAAACAAAAGTCAGGTGGCTCACGAGATGGGACAGGAGAATGCCCATTGAGGAGATGCGAGGACATGCTGGCGGGTGGCCAGCCATAATTTGATTATAAAGTTGTGGGAGTGACAAAAGAAACAATTGAATCTTTTTTCTTTTGGCTTTTATTTTCCTAATTTGATTCCACAGGGGCTTTAAAAAGAGAACAGTGTGAAAAGAGAGAAGATTTACCCTTCTAATTTCTAACCACCAGCTCAGAAAATGTAATATATTTTGACAAAATAATGATTCCTCCCTGGGTTGACTTTATTGTCCTGCTGCTGAAGCTCTTTGACTGCTTGTGAGGCCCAAATCACTGAATCGCTGTAGGTTGGAGTTTTCCTCTAAACTAACTGGTTTTGCGCTCTTTTTTTGTCTTCTTTTGCATGAATGAACACAGACTGGACAATAGGATCAGTGGCAGATCCATCTCCTGTAATACTTTCTTTAAACAGGGTAGCAAGTGTGTCCCCCTGTTCCGTCGGCAGACCAGAATTTATCCTGTTAGTCACCCTAGATGAGTGAAAGAGTAAAATCAACCCCCATACCAGCTGGTCACACGCACACAGAGATGAATCCATTCATACAGGCACACACACACACACTTAACTCCACACACATGGATTTATGGACAGCTGATAAGAACCAGTATTGCTGGTGCTACTGTTCAGATCAGGTCAAGCAGAATAAATTCTGTTAATGTCCTTTTGTTTCTCCATTACTGACCAGTTCATCTCTTTTTTTTAATCTTTTTGTTTTGCTTGTTCAGTCAACAATGAGAAATTGTGGAAAGTGCGCACATGCTCTTAGGATTGAGGAGTGTGAGTTTTGTGCCCTCTCCGGGTGTGTAAACGCCCATTTTTTTGCCCCATTAGGCACCATTTGATCGTGCCCCTGGGAGTGCGCCACATTCTCATGCTGTGTGAGACTCTGAAGTGTTTCACTGCTGATTAATCAGCACACTGGTTTGCTGAGTCTCATCTTTAGGACGTCAGAAAACACAACTAATGTTGGAGGATAAAACCCATATTTCAGATATTTTTGCTCACTGTTTCTTTTGGACCAAAATAACTAAAAATCTCAATTTTAAAACTGGGTCATTTTGACTCAAAGATAACAGGAGGGAATGAAACAAATGTGGCTCAATTTTTTTGAGAGACCAAGTGTGAAATTTTTTTTTTTAGCTCAGCGTTTGTGAATTTCACTGCTTTAAATGCCTTTTTCTGTAGTTTTTAGGGTCAGCTGTGTCAGCCATCTTGAATCAGGTTAACTCCAAGGGTAAATCAATCGTAGGTGTACGTCAAATGATTACTTTTTAAAAGTTTCTTTAAAATCGGTAAATAAATTGCATTTATGTATCATTTTTATTAGTTGTTCTGATCAATTTTTTTTACTAAAAGTCACACACACAGTTCACACAAACTTTACAGTAGATTATTCAAAGTGAAGGCGAAGAGACAAAAACTAAACAAGTCACCCCCTTTACAGTGACTTTTGTCAAAGAACAAAACAAAAACTTGTGACTAAGTTAAAAAAAACAAAACCTGAGTAACTTCAAGCACTGACTGATTCTTTACAAGCATCACTCAGTTAAAGTTGTTTGAACATCGTTAAACCCACTGAACAGAGCAAAACATCACTTAAAAAAAGGAAACAGAATTTGAGTTAAAAATCTTTAATTCATCGTCTTTGAGGCACTTTAATAACTGTAGCAGAGTGCTGTTTTACATAAAAATCTGATTTGTTAAAATTTTTAAAAGCCAATTATTTTCCATTACTACTTTGTAAAACATTTTCAGCAAATGCAATGTTTTTCAATATAAACTGGTAGATTACTGATAAAAAATTAAATCAGTGGTCTTTTACCTGAAGAAAAGGTTAATTCTGGATTGGTAAAAAATTGTATTTAAAAACTACTTAAAAGGTCCTACACTAGTGATGCACTTCATTTACCAAAGAGTCTAGGCTTATTTTGTTCCTGATCTAAAGTGTTTTACTGGTTCAGGGTTTCACTACATGGACGCAGGGTAGGCAGAACCAATGAACTTCTTTCCATCGCCGTAGAAAGAGTTATCCCAGGTGTAAGTCTGAATGATGAGCTCTGTTCCTCCAAGACTCAGATAACAACTGAAAAAGAAAAACCATCAGATTAGAWCTACATAAAAACTGCTCAGGATTTAAAGGTAGTTTTATTAAGTGCAACTGCAGATATGTCGTGTCAGATGGTGACAGGGTGAACTTATTCAAAGTGGTCTTCTGATGATTTGGGAAAATCTTTTCTCATTTCATCCCACTGACTCACCGTTTTCCAGGCCGAGCGATGTAGCAGAGGCTGTAGATGGCCAAATCAAACTCGGGGCTGCAGCCGATGACCGAAGAGCCGACCTGCTTGTAGTAGCCATCCCACATGAACTGCATCCCCATCACGTCAGGATACGTAGTCCACTGAGAGAAAAGGAAGCAACGATAATAAAAAGTGAAGACAGTGTGGTGGGGGACATAAAAAGAATCAACATATTTAGTGTTGGACGCTCACAGGCCCGTTGAAGCTGTGACTGTAATAGTTCAACTTTCCTTTTTTCTCCTGGAGATAAAACTGGATCCAGTTGTGGAAACCAGACACCTTCCCTCCTTTGATCTCTCCTGCAGAATCAATAATGATGAACAGCAACGTATTTGTGCAACAGCTGACGTGAGTCTGCGCTGAGCAAACCTGCGAAGATGTGCTCAAAACCACTGGAGTCCAGCTGCTTGTTGTTGCGGGAGTACAGACCAAACCACATCATCTTCAGGTCGTACAGAAACTCTTCCTCTGATTTATAAACACCTTCAAGCACAGATTAGATTCAAACTGAAATGATTAAAATGACTGCAACAAGCTCTGGCTTTGTGTTTCAGCTACATAATTACCTTTGGAGTAAAGGAAGGCAAACAGCTCTCTGCCCAGTGCAGTGTTGGACATTGTTTCTTTGAGGAACATCTCCTGCTCAGCCAGCTGCTGAGAGCTGAAGTCCTCTGCCTGGCCTGTCATCCTGTTGTAGTTGTCCAGCACAGCCATCAGAGCAGCATATGTAGGCCTGGAAAAGAGCGCGCTCTCGTCCAGGTACCGGAACAGCCTGGAAATGCACACAGTCAAAACACGTTCAGTCAAAAGGAGAGAAAAAAGGGTCTGTGAGTGTGACTGGTTATGTTATCTTCTCACGGCGCAGAGGAGAGGTCAGTCTGGGAGCCGGTCTGGGAGTCTGGCACCAGAGCTTGAGGGTCGAGGATCAGCTGTGAGGATGAAGCTTTGTTTGAGTCCAGGGCGTAAAGAGCCTCAGAGAGAGTCTTGATTTCACCGTCAGTGATGACGGTACCACCTCCGGTGTCAACTACAGGACACAAATCCAGAAAGCATTTATAT